CCCCGCCCACTGTCAATTTCATATGTATAGAATATTTTTTCAAGTCAATGGGCCATCGGACATTAATTGTTATATTAAAAAAAGATTATTCTCAAAGTTTCAAGTACTTATGCAGCTGTTAACATGGTAAACAATAGTTTTGAGAATTTGTTGAATACAGTAGTCATGAAAATAAGAAAAATTGGTAGAATGTTTCGATTAAACTTCATTTTAATGCTAAAAAAAATAATTTTTTCTATACATACAGCATTAAAGTATGTTGTCTTAAGTTTAATTTGCACAAAGAAAGAAGTCTATATGTGAAAAATTGTTCGAGTAATTACAAATTTACAAAAAAAATTGGATTTCGGGTAGCCCCGCTCACATGAATGTCGGGTATCAACAACCAATTTTATTTCGTCGATAAATGTTTGGTTGCAAAGATTATTATTTTATTGCTTCAAATTCGAATGTTATATGCATTTTTAACAACAAATATTGTTGTTATTAAATGATAGAATTCACTAAAAGCAAACACCTGAAAAAACAGTAAAAAAACATAATTTTGGTAACTGGGCTGGGCTACCCGACACATTTTAAAAAGAGCTGAAAAACATGTTTTTTTAAATTTCTATTTTTTTAAGTTAAACTATTCTTTTTTTGGTTTATTCTTTTTGCATTATTTAATTAGATGATAAAACAATAGAAACATACAGAAATATTGATTATTACTGAATATTATACTGAAATATAAGCAATACTCCTTAAGTGGGCGGGGCTATCCGACTCTCCCCTAAATCAATTTTTGTTTAGCCATAGATTAAGTCTTAAATTAAATGAGATTTTATATGAAGTGATTGTATTTTTTAACGAAAATGAAACTAACTAAACACGGGTATCAACAACCAATTTTATTTCGTCGATAAATGTACGGTTGCAAAGATTATTATTTTATTGCTTCAAATTTGAATGTTATATGCATTTTTAACTATAAATATTGTTGTTATTAAATGATAGAATTCACTAAAAGTATATAAATATGTAATAAATAAAATAATTTTGTGATAAAAATGATACACGAGGTTTACCTATTGTCAATACATTGGTCATTTTCATTTACACCTGAAGAAACAGTAAAAAAAACATAATTTTTGTAACTGGGCGGGGCTACCCGACACATTTTAAAAAGAGCTAAAAAACATGTTTTTTTAAATTTCTATTTTTTTCAGTTAAACTATTTTTTTTTTTGGTTTATTCTTTTCGCATTATTTAATTAGATGATAAAACAATAGAAGCATGCAAAAATATTGATTATTACTCATTATTATACAGAAATATAAGCACTACTCCTTAAGTGAGCGGGGCTACCCGACTCTCCCCTATATTTATATATCTTGTTCAATATTTCAATCATTATTAAAGTATTTCAAATACATAAAGTATTTTAAAGTATTTTAAGTATTAAAGTATTTTAAATACATTCACTCAAGTTCAAATACATTTTTTAAGACTTGTAGTGGATGACACTTGTTGTTATTTTTAATTAATTACTTTTAGCTTTATATGAAAGAAAAAAGTGTAATTATTTAAAAAAAATTAAATAAAATGTTTCTTTGTTGACCTTAGTAGAACTGACTTTAAATTTTTTTTATGCAACTTTTTTTTTAATATTGAAATGACTTTTATTTTTTCTAGCAAATATTTGCCGAAGAATTAAAGAAACACAGTGAAGTCATTACCTATCTAGATCAAAATTTAACGGCTCAAGACAATATACTGTGTGCTCTAACTGAATCTAATGCCAGATATGCTGAAACTAGAAAAATTGTTACAGAAATAAAGCAACAGTAAGTTATATTTTGAACACATCATTACGTTTTTAATTTTTAATAATTTTTTCTTCTTTATATGAAACGCTTTGCAAATCCAAAGAATGCATTACTGTTTAGATATGCTTTTTTGTATTTTATTGTAATTAAAGTTAGATTTCGATGATTGAAGAAATGAATTACCTGTTCTCAAGAACTATAAAATGAATTTTTATAAATTATATTTAATGAAGCAAACCTGTTTTTTAAAAATAAGCAAGTCTGCCATAAGATTTTGTTTCGGTGCAATTATTTTTGATAATTAGGTAAGTTAGATAACCCAAATTAATTTTATTACATCTGATTCAAATTATTGCAACTAATAGTTTGAAATTAATATTTAGTTTATCTGTAATTTTTTATAATAGTTTTCTTTTTAAAAAAAGAATGAAAATATATTTTATGTTTTATATTAGTATTGATAACACTAATCAACAGTAAAATGCTTTTTATCATTTAATTTAATGAAGATTTTTTAAAAAAAAGTACTTAAGTTTAAGAGGTATTGAATTTAGATTTAAGTGTTTGTGCTAATTTGTTATAGTTATAATGCAGTTATGCATAAGTCTTGGGGCAAAACATCAGGTTTTGATACATAAAGATTAAAATTTTAATATACAGTCGGAGCTCTATTTAACGAAGTCGCTAAATCCCGATTCCGAGAGTTCGTTATATGGAAAATTCGTTAAATAGAAAATCACCTTTTGAAATACTAAAACGACGCAAAACAGGTTTTAAATTCATAAACACTAGACCTGATTAAAATGGTAATTGATACACCTTTATCTAGTAAACTAGTATCCACCATTTATTCTCTCATAAATCTTAACCATAAAAGAAATCTGCTTGAAAAACAAGAATAGAGTAAAACATTATCCAGTGTTACACTATCATGCTACATACATTTACAACTAAGAAAAGCTAAATTTATGTATAAAATTATAGCTACATTTATTATAGTAGTAATTTAAAACATACATTACCACACGCGTTCATAAGTTTAATTGCTACTGATAAAATTCGTTAATTTTATCGAGTTTTTCCTTTGAAATGCAAACAAAAGTGGACATGAATTTCACTGCTTTCTCTAAAAGTTAAGTGGCTTCGAAAATCAATTCAAGGTCATTTTCTTCATAAAATGCGTTAACAAGTTTGAAATGTTCTGAAATATTTTGGGAAATAGAGAAAGCGGATCTCAAAGAAAAGTTTGTTAAATAGAAAATTCACTTCGCTATTTAGAAGTTATTTTAAGAATAAATTTCCAAAATGTTCTTGTTTCCTCGAAAAAATTCGCAAAATAGAGAAATTCGGAAAATGGAAGTTCGTTAAATAGAAGTCCGACTGTATATCTATGATTCTGAATAATGCCTTTAAATTTTAAAACGTTCAAAAAAAGGACATAACCTTTTCTGTTCATGTACGTTTTTTTTCTCAATTCACCTATCTGGTATGTCAATAAAAAGGTATGATTTATTCATACTTTATTTTCAAAACCTTTATTGATATTTTTTCCATCTATCAATTTATTGTTTTGCAGGCGATTTGAAATGGTAAATGCTCTAGTGAATTCATTTGAAGCATATGATGATATTGTTTGCAAAGCAAAGAAAGGCCTTGAATTCTACAAGAAGTTGCAAACAAGTGTGAATCGTCTTTTGACTAGAATCAGAGGTGTCACAAAAGTGCAAGAAGAGGAACGAGCACAAATAGCAGAAGTGCGCAATGGTGAGATACCTTTGATTTAATAAATTTCAACACAATTGTTTTATTTTATGTTTGCTCGTAAGATTACCAGCGACAAGAGTTTAAGGTGCTGCACTTAAGGGTGTTCTGCAAAGCTTTTACTCTTAGTTTTATGAGTTTACTTTCTACATAGTGCATACTATCATTTTTAAAAAGTCTGCATGTGCATCTACTAAGCTGTGTTCGCTGAGATTATTCATGTGCAACTCTGGTGCATTTTGCAAGATATTCTCAATTCTAGGCTTCATTCCCTCCCCCCTCTGATATTGAACCAAAAATCTCTTTATCATGTTATAATGGCTAATATAATCAGGAAAAGAGTTTTGTCAGGAACTAGTTATTTTATCATGATCATGTACAATCTTTGAAAATTATTTTGTATTTTGTTAATGTATATAGTACTTAAAAATATTTTTTGAGTGCTTTAAAAGTGCTTATTTTTTGTTGAAAGATTTTACTCCGTAGTAGGATTGTGAATTTGCAATATGATTAGTTTTACGAAGTTGTTTTTTAAGCTAAATGGCATTTTTAACTGACTGTCCACCATTATAAAAATGTAAATATTTTTGCACTTATTTTTAGGACCAAGAATTGCGAAGAATCCTCACTACCCTGCAGAAACTCATGTTCCTAAGTTGAAGGATTATTTACCATATTTATCGAAAGATGGAGGTAGAGGGGCTGCCCAAATTGCTCCTAATTTATTGAATGCTTATGTTTCACATCAAACTCAAATACCACCTACTCAGGTAGTCACAGAACCTATGCGGCAAGCTACTTTGGGAGGTCCTGCTACAGATTTCAGTCAAAATATCAAGCCTTTGCCTGGAGAGTGTGTTCTTCCTAAGGACAGCTATGAACCCAGGTCCATTGGCGTTAGACCTACTCCAGTGGGCTCAGAACAACCATCAGTTCCAGTAATGTGTACTACAGTAGCTCCCAGTACTGAAGTAGGAAATTTTCTTTATTCTCGACCATCTCCTCTGCCCGGAGCAACTTCTTATGCTTCTAGTGCTAGCTACAACTCTTCACAAATGCCTTATCAGTATGCAAATTCCTCTGCTGTGGCCACCTCACAAATTACTTCCCCATCTTTGCCATCAAATCCTCAAAATGTTGTTTATAATGGTGGGATATCTGCACCTGGTCCAAGTGCTGTAAATGGGGATAGTAGCAGGAAAGTAAACTATCAGTTGCCTAATAGTATTCCTGGTGCCCCTCAAAGTTTCACTTCGCTTTCTACTATACCATCAATACCATCTCAAATTAATAACTCATATGCTCCTACTGTTCCTTCCAATGGTCAGCCTGGGGCTGCCTCTGGTCCAAATTCGGTGCCTAATGACTACCATCCTCGAAATATAAATTACTCTTCAAATGCAAGTATAAGTAGTCCTTATTTGGCTCAACAAGTTAACACTGGATATGTTCCTAATTCAGGAATGATGCCTAATTTTTCTTCATCAGGGAGTTACCCTCCTCAACCTTCTACTCGTGCTTCTGTTGCAAATGGTCAAATGCCATATCCAGCAGCGTCTAATAATTTTGTTTCTGTACCAGGAATGATTCCTAGTGCAGCCACTTCTCCCATACCTGGAGGTTATGTACAGCAATCATTCCCCGGTGGATCTGCGGCTAATACATCCGTTTCTTATTCTACAAATTCAGTTGGTTTTTCATCTGCATCTGGTGTAGCTTCTCAATACACTGCTGCTTCTAGTGGGCACTCTCAGTATTCACAGTTGGGTACATCACAAGTTGCTGGAAATGTGCTTCCAACTGCATATCCTGTTGGAGCCATTTCTCAAGGTGCTAAACTTTCTTCAGCTGGCAATCCTGCTATGTCTTCAACAGGCATATCAAATACCATGCCTCTGACAGGCGTAGGAGCCTCTGCTTTATCTAGACACCAGCCAGGACATTCAGCAGCAACAAATTTACAAACTTCTCAACCCTCTCCAATTTTACACTCTGGTAATACTGTACACCAGTCAATGGGACAACCCCAAATACCATCATGGTCAAATTCTGTTCAAGCAGCTCAGTACCCTACATACTCTGAGTACACTAAGCAAAATCAGTCTATTAATTCAAAGGCGTTACCAAATCCTAACTATCAAGCAGGAGTTCCTACTACGCAGTATTACCAAGGAAATGTCACTGCTTCTTTGGACACAAAAACAAACACGTTTAACTCGGGTAACCAATATCCTTTATCAAGTGCAGTGCAAGCTCCAAATCCTTCCACTTACACATCTAGCCAATCAGGAATTAGAACTTATCAAACTGGTGGGAATACACAAATTCCGAATTATCCTAATAGTTATTCTAATAATTACGATAGCAATGTCTACAATGCCAATGCAGCGATGCCTAATTCAACACCTAACACTTATGGAGTGGCATTTAACCAAGCAAACTATTATCCTGCAACTCCTGTTGGCGGCCAACCTCAATCTATGACACCGCCTACTGCAGTAAACCAATCATCTGGATCCATGCCATCTCAAATTATGAACTCTCAATTACCTAATGTCCAATATCCAACAAATGTGTCAAACTTGAGTTCCACGAACCAACAGAACTACCAGCTTCCTATGAATCCATCTACTCCTGTTAATTATTCTGCTGTTTCTGTAAACCAACCTAGTTTTCCACCTAGTCAAAATGTTTCAATGCCCACAGAACAAAAGAGACTTTCTCCCAGTTTTGCTGTGCAACCTACCCTCCCTACTGTCTCTCAAGAACCTAAAAGTGCAACTACTCTGAAAGTTCAGCCTGAAAACTCCCATATAAATGCAATTAGAGATCTCATCACACCTCCTCTGGAAACTGATTCTGTCAAGCCATCTGTAGCAGATTCTGATCAAACTTCCCCTCCTGTATTGCAACCAAAGGTTAATCATGATTCCTTTATGCTTCATAATATATATTTTTTGTTAAATATTTTATAGTAGTGCATTAATTACCTTGATTTTTTATTTATTTATTATTTGCTTAATTGTTTTGTTTAATGTAATAACATCATTTCACTTTTTAAAATCGGTAAAAAAGTTTGCTAATGCTAAAAATGCTAGTAGCAAAACCAGGGTTTATGCTAAATTTTTTTAAAGAGTTATCATTATTCATTTTGTGACACATTCACAATGTAAACAGTACTATATCATATTGTAAGAAAATTATTACTGGCAGGGTAATATTAAATATTTATACTCATATGAAAGTTCAAATTACACTGTTCGGTATTACCATATGTCTATATATATTTCCTTGTATCGAAAATTTAAATTGTCCACTAAATTTGGCGCATTTATTAAAATACAAGATTCTTAATTTTTTTCATAACTTAATTCTTGCTTTATTTTAATGCGGTTTTGAAAATAACTATTATATTACACAATGAACAAGGGACATTATTTTGGTATAGTGCAGCACAGATCTGCAAAATACTGTACAGCTGTTAAAATTTGCTCTTTTTGTCCCATGAAGTTTTAATCATAACTTTGTATAAGGACTAATCCAGTAAAAGAGAACTTAAATTTTCACTCCATTGAAATTATGTTTACCACATGACGATTTTGTGTTCATTCTAAACCTTAATGGGACATCCTAAGAAACTGAATAGGTCTCTATATTCTCAGAAAGGGGCATTGTATTTCACATGAAGGGATCTTGTTCTTAAGGAAGCTATAATATTCAAGGCTATTAATTTTTGTTGAAAAAAAAATTATTATTGTGATGAATTCATGCATTCTACAAATCTGTTTTAAAATGTTGGAAATTCTGACATTTCGAAATTTTGTTAATAATTAATATTATTAAAATAACCGAGATTTTAAAAATCTTGTCAATAATAGTAATAAATGACAAGAAAGGAATCTAAAATATAACATGAATTTAAGTGAAATGGCCACAAAAGCACCAATTTTTCACTATCAAAAATGTATTACTATGTATGAATCCAAAATGTATTACTTAAATGTGAGATTTCACAATCGCCAGTCATAAAAATATCGTATATAAATTAATATGTTTAAACCAATGTGGAAACGGCAAAAAAATGGTACTCATTTGAGAGATGCAAAAAGTTGCTTTGATAATAAGAGATTCTAAATAGTGTTTGCAAAATTTTTGCTTAGAATTATCATGTTAACTTACTTGAACCAGACTTATCTGTCCAGACTTGGCGAAAATGAAAACAGATCAAGATCAAATTTGCAGACGTAATTAATATCTAATGTTGGTTACAAAGTTTCTTTCATTTTTCAGTACTCCCACTTTAGGCCATTAAAAAGTATTAAACTCTGTTATTCTTAATCTACAGCCTGTAAAAAGATTTTAGTTTTATCAAAAATTATTTAGAAATTTAAATTTCTAAAGTTTTTTTGAGCTTGTTTTTTTAATTCTAACTTCAGATATAATTATTAATAATATAACTGTTTATTATTATTTAGGTTGAACATTCTATTTATTTGTAAGAGTAAAGAATTATTTACTATTATAAAAAAGTAGATGTCACTAAGAATTTTTTTTCATTAGTCACGAAATAAAAGTAGCCTTTAAACAACAATATCGAATCACATATGTCATTATTATAACTAAGCTTAATTCTTTATTATGCTGTTATGTATTTACAAATTCAGATTGATTTCTTTTATAGTATTTTCTATTAAAAGAATCATATTTTTATAATTGTTCCAAAAATTTGTCAATTTAAAAAAGAAAAGAAACATACACAGTATACACACAAAATTTTTATCAGATAAAAGTTTACAGTGAAATTTCTCAAGTTGACCACTTCTGTATGTATGTTTATCACTTTTCTAAGTTGCTTTCATCAATTACTAAATGGGCTAAAATATCTAGTCATCTTTATGTTGATAAATTGTCTAAGTGGATCAACAAATTGTTACCTCACTAGTGGACAATTTACACAGGTTTCGTGTATATGTTAGTTTTCTTATTTAAAATCTGTGTTTGAAATTTTTAATTATTTTCTCCCTAGGCAATGTTAAGTTAATAGTTAACATTCTGTATTGTTTTTTATTCCAGGTGCTTGACCTCAAAGAACTCTCTCAGCTCAAGGAAAAAGACACTGTCCACTTAGCAAAAGATCCTTTAGAGGACCCTTCAGTTCGTTCAAAATTCGTATCTGAAGTTGAAAAGTATGAAAAATTTGTGGAAGGGTTGATGAGAAAATCTTTAAACGGCACTACCCCCCTGGATCAAAAGTGGAAGGTATGTATGTTTTGATCCAAGCCCGGAAACAGAATTATGTCTAATGTTTGGCAATGACTTTTGATTTGTTAATCTACTGTGATTATCACTTTTAAAATAAACAAACAACTCTCACTAGTTAAATTATATCTGTCCTTTTTTTGACAAATTTTGTTTTGTAAACTAAATTTGCAAAAAAAGTTACCCGTAATTAGTTTCATAATCAAACTATTTATAAATGCCTACACAATCATACAAAAATCGTTTATAGTATATGAACTTTTCATTGCAGCTTTGATATAAATTGCTTAAGGAAGTGGAATGTAAATAGTTTACACCCAGCATGAATTTTTCTGCAGAGACTTTAGCTGTTTTGGAGTGCTTAGCACTCTGTGCTTTAGGAGATCCAATTGTAGTAATTAAACCACTTTAGATTATTTAGATTTTATTTTCATCAATCATTTCCTAAAAAATGAGTAATTTATAACGAAATAAAAATGATTATATAAACAATAGACACAAAAATTGGTTTTGTTAGATCAGATAGATCTTAATTTCACTTAACACAAAGAACTTACAATAAAAAATAAGGTATATAATTTCAGTAAAAGTAAACTAAATAATATATTTGGGCTTAAAATAAAAAAGCTGTTAGGAATTATAGTTTTGAAAGATATTTTGTAAAAGTAGACAAAGACTTTCATTTCTTCTATTTTATTTCTACTATTATTATTTAGTTTACATTTCTCTAAATATATTTGTTCTTTTTTTTCCAGGAATTAATAGATGCGCAAGATAAAGAATCTAGGAAGATGTCTATAAGTGTTGCTAGATGCTATCCATTAAAAAATAGATATCCAGATGTTATGCCATGTAAGATATTTTTTTATTTTTTTCCCATGATTAAGTAGACAAACTATTCTAATAACTGAGCACAGTAAATTCCGTTTTTTTCTTTGTATCTCAAATGACAAGAGGTAACTTGATTGTGTACCTAATTATTAATTTTAAAACAACTAAAATACTTGTAAGATCTAATTTTTACAATTATTAGAAAGAAAACTGAAATATTTTGTAAACTTAAACTAAAAAACTAGATAACATGATATAATTCTTATTTCTTTTTATATTATTTTCTTTTTTTGTTTTGTTATGAATAGACTTATTTCCTCAACTGTTTTTTTATTTAATTTAGATGACAGCAACAGAGTGAAGTTAACATCTGCAAAAGATGACTACATTAATGCTTCTTATTTTAAGGTTTGTTTTTAATATTATTTCTGAATGAAATAGTACATATTGGTAATCATTATGGTTGCTGTAAGTTATTTTGATGTTATGTTAGAAATAATATGCCTTTTGGCTGACCAGATGATTTTTACAGTAATTGTTATATGTATAATGTCAATTATTGTTTTGTAAGCCATTTTCATTTGTAAGAAATTCGTCCTTATACGTAAATAATAATAAGCGAAAGAAATAATTTTTTATTAGTTTTCTAAATTAAATTTTAAGGTGTAGGTATTTTAATATTATTATTATTCATCTTGTTTTTTTATTGATGATTTGAAAAATTATATCGATCATAGAACAAATCTGTTATCTATATTCAATTATAAACTTATTTAATATAGCTGTGTTATTTCGTTTTAATTGATTTCTCCCCTCCTGATACTATACAAAATTCGGGGACTCCTACTTTGCTTATAAAATATAATTTTATAGTATTTTCCTAAATAGCTAGATTAGTAATCATCAGAATTTTTAATGAATTCTATATTCATTTAGATTCAAGTATTTTTATTCTTATTTGTTCAAGTATTTTTATAATTTAAAAAAATTATATCGATCATAGGACAAAAACTGTTACCTATATTCAATTATAAACTTATTTAATTTAGTTGTGTGATTTTGTTTTAATTGATCCCCCCCCCCGATACTATACAAAATTCGAGGACTCCTACTTTGCTTATAAAATATAATTTTACAATATTTTCCTAAATAGCTAGATTAGTAATCATCAGAATTTTTAATAAATTCTATATTCATTTACATTCAAGTATTTTTAGTCTATTTGTGTTCTTAATTTAATGTACTTGAATGAATATTGTATTTTAGGATGTTAGCTCTGGAAGTCCTGTATTTGTAATAACACAAACCCCATTGCCATCCACATATAGTGATTTCTGGTTGATGATATGGGAACAACAAGTTGAAACAATGATCTGCCTCCTTTCTGATAATGAGGTATTTTTATATTTTCTTGATAGGCTAAAATTTTTTTAATGTTCATTGTTTTTCGTTATGTGAGTTTTTTTTTCGAGATTAACTTCTAAAGTTTAAAGTTATGATTTGAATATGTACTCTTTGTAGAGTAGAGCATTTCTAAAAGTGAATAATTTTGGAATCTTTTTTTATTATTGTTTCTTGCTTTGAAACTTAATTTTATTTATTATTCTAAAGTTATTACATAATTTTATAATTTTTGTGCTATGGTTTAAATTTTTTTTAAAAATCAAGTCTCATACAGTTCTGGTTAATTCCACTGACAACAGAAAGGCTCCTGTGTGTTTGCAGGCAGTGTCCCCTGATAAAGTGCTGTCTTGCAAACACACATTTTTATTTTCATTTTTTTAAGATTTTACATGTTTCTATTTCTAAATTATATAAAGCAAATTTGATTTTAGCTGCTTTAGGCTCTTTTCCAATTTGATTTAATGTTGTAATTTCTTATATGTTTACTTACCTTTAGTGTTTCAATTTGGCTTTTGTAAATTGAATTTATTTTTTGATTAGATGCATAGACTTATTCATTATATACTTTGTATCAAATTTTACTGAATGTTTTCAGAATTGAGTTATCAAAGATATTTTTGGTATTAATTGAAAATTGATGATGGTTTTTTTTTTCCTAGCTGAAAAATCATGTTTATTTTCCAAAAGAAAGAGGTCAAACTCTGAATTGTGGAATATTTGAAACTTCTCTTAATAGTTGCAAAGAAAAACATGGCTTTGTGGAACGGATGGTTAATATCACTCACATAAAGGTACGGAAAGTAATAGTCTTTAAAAACTGTTATAATTGCACCTTGTGTTAATTTTATTTAGTAGGTTTAAATTATTTATTGAATAATTTTAAAACAAATCTTGTAACTCAATTTTATTAAATAGATATTATCTTTAAATTTATGTTTCATTATAATATACTGTGTAATAAATAAAAAGACGAGTTTTAGAACATAGCATGCAAAATAATATTTTATAGCATAGTTTGCACAAAATATTAACATTTATTATACAATTTAAGTATTTGATTAAGATATACTGTTAAAAATATCAGTAAGATTATTTAAAATAGAAAGCTTATTATTTTTTCTTTTAGAAAATTTGAAATAAAGGAATTTATCACAAAAACTATAATAATAATAATAATAAAATTCCATACAAATAAGCTTGTTTTACATTGAAACTAGCTTTTCTCTTTACCAATGTTCTCTTACTTTTCCTTTTTTTTATAATTAATAAAATCTAATTTTGTTAGTATTTGTTTGAATGTTTTGTTAACTAACACTTGAACACAACTTTACAAGCGTGAAATTATTATATTATAATGGTTAGAAATAAAATTTAATTTAAAAAAAAGATTCTTTAAGACATGAAAGCATTTTCAAATGTTTAAAAAAAAAAATTTTTTTTTTAAAGGAAAATTGGTGGCCAAAATATTTTTTGAAACCAAGTAGAGATGTAATTGGAGAGTAACTAAACAAGGTTTTGTCCTATTGTCAGAATCGAAAAAAAGGTGCTGGGTATTGAGGGTTTTTTGGTTTAAAATAATAACTTGTTTTGCTGAATTGAGGGTTTCATTGCATTTACTTACAACTTACATCGGAAAAATAATCTGAAAATATTTGATTACTTCAGTTGGTTGCACAATTATTATTACTAAGTTCTTAATTATGATGTAAAAAACTTACCTTATTACTTAACACTTATAAATCTGTTTCTCAAATATTTGTTTTTACAATGATTATGTTATTAAAAAGTAAGTATAAAGTGATAAACATTCACAAATTTAAATATAAATATATTTTACAGAATCGTACATCTAGAGTTGTTGTTCATCTTCAATTTACAGAGTGGCCTGTTAGGTATGATGGCTCATAACTGTTATAATGTTATTTGAGAAATATTTTTTGAGTGTAATGTTTATTGGTGCTTTTCTGATTTTAGTGGTATTCCTAAGTCACCTGTTGCACTTTTGCAATTTATATCAGATGTTTTAAGTTATCAGAAACAGCAGAGAAATCTCATGAGGCCCGTTGTTGTCCATTGCAGGTATTTTGAAATAATTTACTCTTTTTAATTTCTCTTAGTTTCACTAAAGTAACTTATTTTTAATAAATTGAGTTGTATGTTTATTATAATTTTTATATTTAACACATTTCTATGGTAGATAATGGCTGTTTTGTTTGGTTTAAGACTGTATGCAGTATGCTCATCGTTAACGTCGTAAAATGCTCATTATTCGTTAAAAAGCGTCGTAAATTTTCACTCTCTTGCAAAAATAAAACAAAGCAATTTGTAAATGTATCTAAAATAAACAATTTTTGCATTTATAACATCCTGTTAGCAGAAACCCTGCAGCGTGGTAGTGGGCTCTGCATATGAACACAGTTCTAGCTACTTTTAATCTCAAATTAAAGAGAAAATAAAAAGAAGTAGGTTCCAGAAATTAAGAATTTCTGAGCTGCCTCAAAAATTTTAAAATCTGGTACTTAGATAATTGCAAACTAGCAAAAAGAGATTGATGTTTTCCTAAAATTTGAAATTTTTTCTCACTGAAATTTTTAAAATTCCTATTCAGTCCCTCTACAGCCTGTAACCATATGGTTATTTAGTAGCAAGCTATTTAGGACTGCATAGGAACTTTTGAAACTATTATTAAATAACATTCAAAATAAATTATTAAAAATTTTGGCCAATACGAATTTTTTATAAAAATTTTCTTTGCTATTAAATTTTTGATTTAGTCATCTTTTACAATAATAATCTCTTGTCTGATTCCATTGAAGTTGCTGACAAAATTGAATTTATGAAGATTGTGACTCTGAAAATTTTGCTACCATGAATAAAATTAATATAAGGGGCGAGTAAAACCTGCTTCTTATCAATCTTGATGATTTTACTAGTAGGACTGGTGTGGCAATGCAAAATTGTATAAAGTAAATGGGTTCGTAGCCTTTTTAAAAAGTGAAGGTACTTATTTTTGATTTATGTGTTTTAAAAGCTCTTTTGCTTTTAGGTGCTTTTTTTCTATTCAGTGTTTGTAAAAAGTGCTTAATTTTCTATCTTTTAAAAAAGAGATTTATTCGTTGCTGTATTGATTGTCGTTCTACATTACAAAAAATGCATGATAATGTAATGTCTTTGAAAATAGTTTTGAATTTCATTGGTTTTATGCTTATAAATTAAGATCTTTAAATGATAGAAAAAATTATTTTTATTACTGCACAGATCCTAATTATGATTTTTTTTTGTTGGAATACGATTAAAAATATCTTTTGATGCTTGAAAAGTACTTAAAAATTGTTCGTTTTTTGTTGAAAAATCTGGCTACGCACCCTGAGTAAATTAGTCTATTAAGGATTGATAATCATCTATAGCTGAAAGGCATAACTCACTACCATGTGTCTTCAACTCTATATTGATTATTATACATATCATTTTATATTTCTTTAAATTTAGTAGTTTTTGTGAATCTATCTAAATTTTTGTCATTGACTGCAAGGTATATTGTTTATATACATATGCCGAGAGAAACAAATTTTCACTAAACAGCATTCATGTATATTAAACATATCTGTTTATATAAAATAGGAAGAAAAGAAAGATGCTTTCTAACTTTAACTTTTAATTTTATTTAGCTCTGGTGTGAGTCGCAGCGGCTGTTTTTGCATAATTACTGCTCTAGTCAATGAAATGAGTGGGGGTCATGGCCCAAGAGACGTTGCTCAAGTTGTGACTATGGCTAGCCAACAGAGGAAGTTCCTTATACCTGATAAAGAGCATCTTAAATTCTGTTATGACACTGTTCTTTATTTTGCTCAAGATCTGCTCATGAAAAGTATGACATTATCATTATGATTTTTTTTTTGCGTATAAGTAATATTATTTGCTTATTTTAAGAATCCGGCTTGTGCGCCATTTTAATTTTTGTGTACATGCATATGATTTGAACAAATCACTCAAAACAGTTCAACAAATATAATTTTATTTAAAACGTGAAATCAAATTTGACAACCTCACATCACAAATGTCTAAGAAGAAGTACAGAAAATGAAATGTAGCTTCAAAATAATTATAAATGTAGAAATTATGGTGCACCCATTGAGCACTCTGCTTCCCAATCAAGAATTCCTTCTTGATTCACAAGTAACTCAACTAATTTAACTATTAATTGTTTGAAAAAGCCTTTTGCAGTTTTTACTGTAACATCTTAAACAATTTTGCCTACAGGCCGAGTAGCAGGTAAAAGATTGTCTTCTTTCTACAGTACTTAGTTACCTACAGAAAAAGAAGGTTGTCTTCACTGCTGAAGTGAATATAAATATTCAGTATGCCAACATTTCCCAAACCTATTTTTTAATGAGTTCCCGGCGTGTATGATAAATCATATAGTCTGAATTGTCTGATTTTTCATGGGGAAATGTTATCTTTTTCCTTTTATAAGAAATGAGGAATTAATACATCTAAATTATTTATATCATTGTCACTAAACTGGACTGAGATGTCTCCAATTTAAAACTGCTTCAATTTAAGGTAACAAAGTAAATTCCTCAAATGTTGAAGAATTTACTTATAACTCGGCACAAATGAAATATCACAGACTACCACTAAAATGGGAGGAATCATATGCCACTCAATCGAATTTTTCTTTAAAAAAAAAGAAGGAAATTTTCCTTGTTATTTACCTTAATAACAATTTTACTTATTTCATACAGTTTATGTTTTGCCCTTACAAAATTTATGGCATTATCACTGTAAATTAAATATGTCTATACATCAAATGTATAATATTTGTCCATAAATTTTCTCATTATCAGAAGAAATCAAAATTTCATGAATTCTGAAAAAAAGAAAACAAATCTCTCTGCTTAACACAACCAGTGCCAATTAAAGAATTTAATGAAACTTGAGTAGATGAATGGCATCAAACACTGCTTTAAATTTTGAAGTTGTGCTGTAGTGGACTCCATGATTAGGCAAATAAAATGATTTAGAATTGCCTGGAGAAAAATCCTCATTCTTCTCTTCAACCATATAACCTAATTTCAAATATTCACTCATAAATTTCATTCTTTGAATTTCAAATTTTGAATCCCTGAGAAATTTTCTTCCCATATTTAACATTCTTATTAACTGCTGGAGGTTTAGATTCACCTAATGAATCCGTAGATTTGATAAATAGTGATTTAACAACATAACGACCATTAGAATTAATAACATAATTTTCTTGAAAGTGAGTCTCACAAAACTCTTCAGATTCCAAAATCGCTTTAAAAAATTATGAATACATAAATTAAAATAGAAACTATGAGAATGAGACATTTTACAAAAAATTATACAACCAAATAAGGTATTTTGGGCTATAACTAGTTTATCATCAATTAAAATTTGTCTATATTGAATTAACTCAAACCCCTTATCACCCTATAATTATGCCAATAGTTTCAGCTTTAGCAAAATCAGAATCTGCTAACTTAAGAGATTTAGTAAAATCTAAATTTTTAAATAGCGAATTAGGAAATCATTTAGTAAATAACTTTTTTTTTCTTTAAAATAATTAACAGAAAAAACTTTAAAATTATTTAAAAATCTTTACTGGGATTTAAAATCTCAATCAAACATAATTGCTATTGTGCTTAATTAAATTGTCCTAGAAAGTTATAAGATTTTATCATTTAAATAAAATAGTTTTGAAATTAAAAATATTTATTTATTTTACTATTTATTATACTTGTGAAGAATCTTAAAATGAAAAGTAAGTTAGTATGTATATATATATTAAAAAATCGCTTATTAACATGTGTGTTGCGCTGTAATAGATTTTATGTCAAACATTAATATTATTAGCTAAAATATCCTTTTATTCACTTGCTGATTCTATAACTTTTTAAACTGAAGCAAATTGATTACTCTTGGAATAAGAACTTGACAAAAGGCACAAATTGAAATAAAAAAAATATATATTCTAAAACCCAAGGCAATTTAAAAATGGTATGCTATGATGATTAAGAGAAATGGTTAAAAAAAAAAATCAAAAATCGTAACATTGTTATTGCCAAAAATGCTTAATTTTAGTAATAGGTTCTAATTGAAAAAAAGAGCTATTTACTAGAAAGCAAATTTAAAAAATAAACGTTATGAGTATGTTTAGGAAAAACGTAAAAAATAACTATTATTGTGCTACTTCTAAAACATTATAAGAACTAGAAACAGGGGGACAGATAAGAGTTCAAAAACTTGAAAACTAGCTGCTTTCATAGATTGTTAGATTATTGGTTTATCCAATGGTTTGATTAAAATTATTTCTATAAAAAATTATATTTTTTTAATTTCACAATATGCGAAAAAAATTTTTTATCAAAGATTGTTGGATGCTGATACTAAAAATATTATTTGAAAGGAAAAATAATTTGTACGTATCGAATTAGATTCATGAAACTAGCCTCTTCCAAAAAAATTTTTTTAATTATTTTCTACTCGAGGAAATAAGATTTGTTATTTTACTTAAAACTAAATAAGCGATCAAACTATAATATTTTGAAAGCATAAGAGATTAAGAAAGAAGGAAATGGGGTCTTTCTGTACGAAATGTTTGGGCTATTTCTTACTCTTTCTCAAATGATTTTGTTAGAACTTTTTCAGAGATGCCAGGGTACAATACTTATGCTATGCATCAATAACATATTTACTTACCCAGCATTAACTCTTTACCAAATAAGTTTCAAAAATTCAGGATCAGTACACTCTTAAGCCACACCCCATTTTGTAAGGACTCTTCCACCAGCAAATTCTTTAGAACTATCCTATACTCTAGCTAATGAATTGTGAATTCAACAGTAGTATGATTTTGAAGTCATGAAGTTTACTGATCTTAAGTTGGAGAATGTTTCGACTAGACTAGACTAGATATGGGGTGATACGGAGTACCTGCCCGTGAAGTTCAAATGAATTTGAACCTCAAAGAAGAATTTCAACCGATTAAAGCTTAGTTTTGTTGAGTTCCTAGCCCGAAGGGCTATCTACTCATTCATCGAAAATAATTATAACATGATAGTATAGAGGGGGTAAGGGAGATACTCAAGCAGTGTTTTCACTACAGCGCGAGAATCTCACATATTTTTTTCTTTTCTCGCAATAAAAAATTATTAATGCGAGAAGTTCGCGTACTTTTTTAATCAATTTCAAAATCCATGAATTTTGGAAAAAAATTCGTCTTTTGCCATTTTGAATAAAATCCGTTTCACTTTTCTTCCTTGATGTTTCATTATTTTGAACATCGGTCCTTGTTATCTAGCTTCCCTATTTATCAGTATTGTTCAGAACCGGTGCGAACAGCAGAACACCCCCTCCCCGAACCACGGAGCCCCTTTCAGAACACATTTCTGTGCAACCACGTGTTCACCGTAGGTAAGGTTTCTTCATGTAAGACGTTTACATTTTCTGTGCATGAATGTAAGATGGACAAATACCTTGTTAAGGCGACATCTTCTACTCCGTAACGGACAAATGAAAATGAAACAAATGTCTGTAGAAACGGTCAAAACGAAACAAATACAGATATTTTTCAGCCAAATAAATATAATAGCTGATAAAAAAGTAGATATAGAACATTTTCCATATGATGATGCAGCAAAAATATTCAATTAGAAAATGTTAAAAATTTATTATAATTAAAGAAATGATTTTTTTCCAAGTCTATTCGTGTTTTTTTAACTTTTTGAAATCTCACCCTGTTTTTGAGAAAGGGTGAGAAATTCTCTCCCATTTTTTTTCTGTAATGAAAACACTGTCAAGCGAGCAAAATAACGAAATATTAAAATTACTGTTTTACAACATCAATTTGCAGTCAAATGACAATAGAAAAAGGAATAGCTTCTTATTAGAACTTTAAAAAATAAGAATGAGTAACCTTTTAGTCACATTTTCTGATAAATTAATCATCTTTCTCACCTTTTTCAAAGTTTTAATTTGTTCCTCCCTCTGCTTTCCGAGGTCTTCCAGACATGGCAAAATTATCTTATTCTATTGCTCCAGATGACCTGTATTTATCTGTGGGTGCTTATAGAGCCTATATAACTCAAAATTGCATCTAGTTTGCAAATAGATCTAGGCCAAGAGGGATCTGAGGAGTTTCTTTCAAAAATATTCAGGGTACACTGAATGTCTGCATTATGAGTCCAAATTTTACATGCATGGAAGAAAACTGACAAAACAATTGTTATAATTTTTGTTAATTAATGTAATTTTATTTTCAGGAGGGATATTAACGAGCAGAGCTTCTTTCGACAATAAATTACCTGCGAGTGGTAACACCACATCACACGTACGCCACCCGTCGGAAGATTTCATTCTTGGAGGTGGAGGCCTTGCTAAACTGCAATCTGGTATTGAAAATATGACAGTTTCAGCTGATGAAAACGATTCTAAAGATTCAGCAGCTGATGAGACCTCATCAGCACCGATTTCAAACAACGAAGTGGAAGGAAATGGTGATGGCGCTCCTATTCCTCCCACTGTAGATGTCGCTTTGTGTAACACCCTACCAGACCCACCCGAGGTGGAACACAATGAAAATGGCGATGCAAACTCATCGAATAAAACAGAAGAACTCAAGACTCTTCCGTCTATTACCAGCTTATTAGATCCATCGAATTTCACACTGGATAGTGCAGGCTCACCCGGTAAAAGAAAAATAACGAAGGAAAACTTTGCGAGCTCGAAGGGGAGCTTGTCCACTTCAAGCTCCGATAGTGCTGATCCACTGAGCCAGTTAGATCCTCTGTGGTCATTGAAAAAATAATAATATTCAATTAGGTTCTATTTAACTATCCAAAAAGTGTCTTACTGTAAAGTATTCAATTTGCTGCGGAATGAGCGATATCGTGAGAGTGGATGTAAATATTTTGATACACTTTGTATTATAAATCTATATTTGTGAAGTTAAGATTGTAAAATACTTTCATTATTTGTATTTATTCTATGTCTGGAACATAGTTGGGATGCGTTCTTATTTCCTATTATCGAATAGTTATGCTGAATTAAATGTAAGTTTAGATTGCATCGCGGTAGACTGTTTAGTTTCAATTGTTTTCTTTACCAACACGAACTGATGAGCTTTTTTAGATTCATTTTCAGATTTAAAAGAAAGCTATGTATTCAATAGTTTTTGAAAGAATTTGTGAAAGAATAAATAGTAATTGTTATTTTTCCTTAAAAAATTTTTTGTGGATAAAATAATTATTGATATGATAAATTTCAAGCCTATTTATTATTTTGGTATGTACATTTGTAAAATATTAAAAAAAAATATTTTTCCTTTTTTTCCAAAAATTTAAAAAAAATGCTCTTTAAGGAAGTTTTTTAAAAATTCTTAATACTTTAAAATGTATGAGTAATATGATGTGTGGTAACAAATCGGGAGACTCTGAAAATGTTATAATGAGCGACTGATTTGCTTTAAGTATGTAAGAACACACTGTAAACATAAAAACCTTTAGTTTTTAAACTGAAAATAAGTATATATTTTTCAAAAGTAATGCCCTTTGTCTAAAAGTTTAGAAAATGTTTATGTGTGGAAAAAATTTTTTTTTCAATTATAAAACTAAATATTCTTATGTTTAATAACTTTATACAAAAACTCACAATAAAGTCTATCATTCTTGGTAAAACTTTTGAAAATGTCCAATTCGCCACCACAAATTTGTATACATATCGTTTCTTCTTCAAAGAAATTATATTGTGCCCATAAATATTGAAACCTCACTTTGCTACTTGCAAAGTGAGGTTTCGAACCTTGGTAAAACTTTTGAAAATGTCCAATTCGTCACCACAAATTTGTATACATATCGTTTCTTCTTCAAAGAAATTATATTGTGCCCATGAATATCGAAACCTCACTTTGCTATTTTTATAAAAGCGGCTTTTTTTCCCCCCTCTATATTTAAATTATGGTTGTAAATTTTGAGGCAAATTATAACCATAAATTATGAAGCAGCAAGGAAAATTTTTTTGATAACATACTCTAGTTATAGGGCAGAAAAGAATTGTTTTTTTTTTTTTTAAATAACTCAGTTAAGGAGTTCAATATTTTCATCACTTGTTAGGAATACCTTATCAATCTTGGAATTTTTTTTTTCTTTTAAAAATTATTCAATAACTCAATATAGTACATGTGATATTATTGCTAAACATTTTAACAGTAATATTTTCTAGTTTTAAACTATTATATTTTTTCTGACTTAATTCCAGTTTGGGCTTTTGTAACTATTCTTGAGTTTTTTAATAAAATATGGTTCATTATTTGTTCACTTTACTTGCTAATGTTCTTTGTTCACTTCAATTTGAATTTTTTCCCTTTATTTTGAATATTTTTTATGTGAAAAATATTTCTCAAGAACAGAGCTAAACATTTACCTAACTCTTTTATAATGTAAACTCGTTGGTACATATAATCTTAGCAAATTTTAGCACTTTAATTGTTTTGATGTATACAATAAGGTTAAACTGACTAATGCTATTTAAAGCACAACATTGCTTTTAACTTTCTAAAATTACTGGGTTTTAGTGAACTTAAAATTAATTTCTCAGCTTTCATAAATTTTTTAAAAACTTTTTTGTTTTAAATAGCTTGAAAGTAGAACAAAAAGAAGTGAAAAGTAATGACAAGTAGAATAATAAGATTATTCGACTATCCTTTATTATTTATTTTACGAGAAAGATATATTTTAATGTGCTTCTTGAATTTAATGTATCCATTTTCTAAATTGTTTATATACTATGGAAATCATATCTGAAATGTTTTCTCACCTTATTCTATCAAAAGCTATTCTCATTTCCTAACTGATAACTTTATAAAAAATAATAAAAAAATATATATATTTTGCTTTTTTATTATAAATTCTTTTGCTGTAATTCTCATTAATTTTAATTCGATAAATAAATTGGAAAGATTTTTTCTTCGAAACTAGGGATGTAATGAATATTTAGCCACTCTTCCTTATTTGGCCCTTCTGCTGAATATTCAGTTGGCCAGCTATGTTTCGCAAAAATATTTTTTGACAAAGTTTTTTTTTTCCTTTTCGAATTTGAATAGATTTATAAAGAATAATCTAAAATAATATTTTTTGCTATACGTTATTAGAAATAGTTTTTACACTTATTTCTTAAGTTCTAAAATATATAAATTCATGTTCTGAAAGATAAATGGAAAAGCGAAATTTGAAGAGTTGAAATTAAATTACTTTATACTAAATCAGTTTTATATTTATGATTTTTTTAAAAAAAAACTATATTCTGGCAAGTCAATTTCATAGTTTTTCAATACTTTTTATTTCAATAATTGAATTTTTATTTTTTATTATTTTTAGATTATACCACAGCATTTTATCAGAGCGTTTCTAATAGACTTTATTTATTTTCAATTTTTTTGTGTATGGTTAGAGAGATAACTGAATCACAGAAAACTGTGATTTTCAGCATTAGAGTTAAATTTTAAGAACTTAGAATAATTTTTTTTTCTGCTTCTCTTTTGTTTTTCATTAACTTTCCTTTTTATCTGTGTTTTTATAGTCACTCAGCTTATTTTAGAGCATTTTTAATGAACTCTCATTTATACTTACTTTTTTCTTAAAAATTTTTTTCTTCTCGTTTTTACAACTAAGTTTTTATAGCTGTCAGTCTGGTTTTTAGTTACCTTAAATATTTTTAATGGCTATTATAGTTTTTTCCCTCCATTACCCCATGCTAATAATATAACTAAGTTTTGATCATTTTTCAACAATTCGAAGTATGTTATATTAAAATTGAAATATTGTTAGATAAAAAAATATTTATTATTTTTTGGAAAAAAACTTTTGCTGTTCGTCCGATTTTTTTGATGCCATATTTGGTATTTGGCCAAATTATTATTCGCTACATCTCTATTCAAAACAATGAACAATTTCTTTCGTTCCATTTAAGAAAACCAGTTTTTTATTATTAGGAAAGGATATGGAGAATAAAAGTGACAGCGCATGTATGTTTCTTTTTTTTCTTTCTAAAAACTAAAAAGCTTTTTCAGTTAATATTATTTTCTCTAACTTCCCTACCTTATATTAATAGTAATAGTAAACACTAAACATTTATTTATTTATGTACGTAAATAAATCAGAAATCTGTTTGACATCCTCAGCAGTGTATTCAATCTTAGAAAAACTACTATTAGTTTTTTGGCTATGTTTTACTTCCCTGTCCAAGTTTTGTCGATTTAGTTTTATATTGAAAGTTTTATTTGATTTGAAAATTTGTGATTTTATTATTCAAAATAACTAAAACACGAGTAAAAAATATTACATCCATTTTATGACTAAATATTTTATGAAAACTAAAATTTATATTTATGCTTCCTTTCCTCCTACTGCTGTATTTTCTTTTGAAGTATTAGTAATATTTAAGTGAAATGAATTCAATTAGTAAACAATTTGAAGCGAAATAAATATTGTATTGATAATTTGTCAAAACAATTGTAAATAGTTGCTGTATAATTAATTACTAATTATTTTAATTAACATATTTAAGTATGCCTAAATTTTATGTGTTTAATTGCATAAAACAGTATTTACATAGATTTTATTTTCTCTTACTTTTTGTTGTATTGTTTATTTTTGTGAAAAATGATGCTAACAATTAATATGCTCGGAAAACCAGAACTTCAAAACTTATTTAAGTTTTATAAATTTAACGAACATGCATATTTATTATTTGCAAATTATTTTTAAAACAGTATATATCTTAGATTAGCATCATGAGTTAAGTTTTGACTATTTTCTATAATGTTGATGTCTAAGATTTATGCATTTCACAAAGTTTAGTTTTAAATTTTCTTAAACGTATAAAATAGTGAACCCACAGAAACGTTAGTTTGATGTTTTTAAAATATGAATAACTACTTATGGCTACTAAATAAAATGTTAGATTTAATTTGCTGAATTTCATTTTGAAGCAATGATGTGTATAAATTTTATCTATTTATTTATTATTACAAAACTTTTGATTTTAAATAATGCATTTTAAATTTACTTAGTCAAACCTTCATTCAAATGCTTTCATTGAAAATTTTTATTAACAAATTATCATTATTCTTTTAAAAATTTATTAATACAACTTCATAAATTTATACAATGCCTATATACTTAGTTTATTGATTGTTCCATTAATGTACAACTATACTTTTAAATAACTAAAAATTAAATTTAATTCTATGAAATAAATTCTGCTATGAAATATCCATTAAATTTTCTTAATATGTTGATCTCATTATATAATACATTTTTCCAATTTGTAAGTGAAACTATCTCATTTTAGTAATTTTTGTAATTTAGAGACAAACCCTTATTTCCTTGAATTTGTAATTGGACGCAAAACAATATTCAGACCCGGGAAAACTTGAAATTGATAGGGAAATGAGGGAGTAGCTCCAGGGAATAGTGAGAGAAAAAAAAAAAACTCCCCCCCCCTCTTTTTTCTGTTTACATTACAAGTCTATTACATTTATTTCTTTTAAAAGTACTGTAGTTCAGTTGAATTTTTCCATGTTTTCCTTTTGTGATAGTTTAGTTCTTGTAAAATTCAATATTTGATATAACAAATTAAAAAAAAAAAACATTAATTTTTTTCACAGTGTATAGACAAAATATGATCTTGAATTATGGTGAAATTTTACTGAAATACCTAAAACAGTTGGGTTATTTTATTTACTGAATTATCTTATTGTTAATCTTTTTATTTTTTTACAATTGCTGAAATTATTTTATTATTTGAAGAAGAAAAAATAGTGAAGTATTATAACT